TGAACTACCAGCTTTCTGGTTAGCAGTCAAATGCCTTAGGTGGGTTCAAACCTACTAGCCACTCCTCGGAAGGAAGGTTGGGCAATCTACTTCTGTAGAGGTACCCCTTCGGAAACCCAGAGGGGTTGATATGAGTTGGATCTGATTCCGCGGCAGTGACTTTGGTTTTGGTTTCATTTTTTAGAGGCCATTAAAGTCAGAATTAATTTGTAGTAGTTGGGTTTCCTTATGAATAAGAAAATATTTTTTCCTCTTCCTTTTTCGTTCTCTGAGGTTTTCTGAATATGATCACAATGCATCAAGCAACTAGTTCTAACAAAGCATTCAAACTGGTGTTATTGTTAGGTGCCGTCAAGTCATCTCCTACTCACAGCAACCCTATGCACAGCAGAACAAAACACCACCTGGTCCTGCCCCAGCTCCGTGATCCTTGCTATACTTGACCCCATTGCCACAGCCACTGTGTCAATCCATCTCATTGAGGGCCTTCCCCTCCTTCCTCGACCCTCCACCTTACCAAGCATGACATTCTTCTCCAGGGAATGGTCCCTTCTGACAACATGACCAAAGTAGGTGAGACAAAGTCTGGCCATTCTCGCTTCCAAGGAACATTCCGGCTGCACTTCCTCCAGGACAGATTTGTTAGTTCTTTTAGCAGTCATGGTACTTTCAGTATTCTTTGCCAGCACCACATCGTAAAAGCATCAATTCTTCTTCAGTCTTCTTTTTTCATTGTCCAGCTCTAACGTGCATATGAGGGAATTTAAAATATTCATGGCTTGTGTCAGGTGCACCTTAGTCTTCAAGGAGACATCTTTGCTCCTCAGCACTTGAAAGAAGTCCCTTGCAGCTGACTTGCCCAGTGCTATATGTGATCTGATGTCCTGACTGCTGCTTCTATTGGCATCGACTATAGAACCAAGCAACATGAAGTCTCTGACAACTTCAATCTTCTCTCCATTTATCATGATGCTGCTTATAGGTCCAGTTGTGAGAATTTTTGTTTTCTTTATATTGAAATGTAATCCATACTGCAGATGGTATTCTTCAATCTTCATCAGTAAGTGCTGCAAGTCATCCTCACTTTCAGGAAGCAACACAAAGTGATAGATGACTGAATTAATATTTCACCTCTGAGCCTCCTTGGGTAATGTATACCTTGGTAACTTTAGAGTGCAGAAACCTGGAAGACAGTCCCTTACTCCAGTGAACAAAGTTAACCTCACCAATGATCAGACAAACTGATCTTGTGTAGGCAGGAGATGGCATGGTAGGCTTCCCAGGCCACAGAGTGAGAAAACATGAGTGCCTTCAGGCAGGAGGCTTGCCTGTGAAGTAGGGTGCCTCTAGGCACCTGGTGGAGCTAGGTTTGTGGACCCACAAGGCTAGAGCTGAGTTCTTTTGGGTAGAGGCTTACCAACAGAGTAGGGTGCCTCTGGGCACTTATTGGCAGAACTAACAGAGTTTTGTAACACTTGCTCTAGCAGGGAAGAGGCCAAGAGACGAGGAGCCAAGAGGCAATGGACCAAAGAAAGTGTGACTGTGGGCACTGCTAAGAAGAGGCTGTCCTGATTGAAGAACTGTATCTGGAGTCCTTTCTGATGCTGAGTTGTAACTTGTTACTTCCCTAACAAAGTCCATAATTGTAAGTATTGTCTGTAAGTTCTGTGTGGCCATTGCAATGAATTATTGAACCTAGAAAAGAAGTAGAGGGTGCCATGGGAGGGACATTTGGTGTAGAATTGGTGAAAAGGTTGGCAAGAGGAATCAGCCTTGGGGTGATGCTGCTGATGGTGATTCTCTCTCCCCCTTGTGAAGTTAGACGAGATCAGACACCATTTTTTTTTTTTACAGTGATATTCCTGCTAAAAATATATGACATGAATCTAATCATGAGAAAACATCAGCCAAATCTCACTGGTGGGACACTCTATAAAATTACCTTTCTACAATCCTCAAAAATACTAAGATCATAAAGGTCAAGGGAGGACTGAGGAATTGGGCCAGACTGAAGGAGACTGAAGAGGTTACATACAATTTGTGACTGTGGATTGGATCCTTTTGCTAGGAAGGACATTATTGAGACAAGTGGTGGAATTTAAATGGGATCTTTGAATGAAGGATATATGGGAGGTTTTCGAACCCTTTTGGCAATTTTTCTATACGTTTGAAATAATTAAAAAAATAAAAGCATGAAATTGACTCCTTCCCCCACATCCTCATTTTGGTGACTTAAACTTCATTTTTTTAAATTACAAAAGAATGTTGCTGTCTTTGACAACTCAAACAATACCAATAAATTAAAAAGTGCAAGTCCTCCTTCGTCTCCAAAGTCTATTTCTTAGAAGTTACCTTTGTTGATAATTTGGTGTGCTTACTCAGATTTTACAAATAAACAAGGCTTTTTTTTTTTTTTTTTTTAACAAAAGCAGAATTCTGTATATACTATTTGACCTCATCCTTCTTAATAGCCACATAGTGTTCCATTGTATGGGTTATCAGTTATCCATTCCTGTATTGAAGGCATTAGATAGTTTCCAATTAGAATTAGATTGCAATGAGCACCCTTTTGAATCTTTACCTTTACACATTTATGCTAGTAGTTCTATAGAACAGATTTCTAGAAGTGGAATTTTGCCAAGTCATGGATTTTGCATGTTTGCCAATACTGACAGATTCTGCCAAATTTTCCTCAAAAAAATGTTGCTATTAATTTGCTTTGCTACCAGTGGTGATTGAGGAAAATTTCTCCACTTACCAACACTATATGTTCTTAGATTTTTCCCTTTATGAAAGGAAAAACAAGACTTTTTGTGCTGTGGTGCAGTAAAACATATTCGGGCTCTTTTATCAAAGGATATGGGTTGTGTTTTACATCTACCGCTTTCTAGCAATGTTACTTTCTCTGGCCAGTGACCGTTTTAATTAGGACGTCATAGCTTATATGTAAGGGTTGTGAGGGTCAAATGAAAAACCCATTCATAAACACATCTGACAGTCATTGTCATGAAGTGGGAATGAGCCATTAATGGAGAAGAATCCTAGCAAGATGGTAATGAAGTAAGAATTCAATTGTCTAGAGGGTAGCAGAAGAATGATATGGGACGTAAGTGCAAATTGTTCAGAGCTCTGAGCAGTAATCTGGTTAGGTCTCCACTGCCTGCTCAAACATGGCAGGAAAGAGAAGCAGAATGACAGCTCCATCTCTGGCCAGCTTGAGCATTCATTCTCCATCCTTTCAGGCTTTTCATCACAGCCACAGGGAGGGAAGAGCCTGAGGAAAAAGAACCTGACCAGTGGCCCAGCTTTAGTTCTAGGTCTGCAGATATTTACTTATCCTCCAGGTAACTGAAGTCCAAGCCTTTTGTCTTACAGGTTAGAGAACTGAACCCAAGTAATTTAGATTGTTTGCCCAATGTTCCCATGTGGTAAATGGCACGGTCACATTAGTTCTCCGGGCTTCCAGCTCCATCCCAGTGCGATTCTACATCATTTGTTATACATTTGTTAGTTTTGTCTTCCCTCAGAGAGACTGTGAGATTCTGAGGGAAGGTGCTACATTATCTCTTTTCATTGTCTGAAGAGAGCTATGAGAGAACAGTGTACACAGTAAATACTCAGAAAATCCATGCTGAAATGAATTTAAAGAGAGTATCTTTGGTTTATTATTGGATGCTAACAGGAAGTATGAGAAGCTAAGACAGGCTGAGAGGACTTCCAGTTAGGTAGCTTTCCTCTTAGAAAATGCTGAAGAGCACAGTGGAATCCAGAACACATTGTATAGTTGGTCCATTTCCCAAGGGCCAATGGCTGACTGATTTACAAATGAGTCAAAGAATTGGAGTCTTCTGATGGTGTAGATGTTGGTTTTATTTGAACTGATTGCTAGCATGTAATAGTATAAAATATATTCCTTAACAATCACCAACCCAAGCCCAACACTGATGATTAGATTGTCTATGAAAGAAAAGGGCCCCTAGCTTCATCTATATAATAGAACATGTGTTTCCAGTGCAATGTGTAATCCTCACTGCACTTCATAAGGCAAAGCCCGCTCCACATGAGCACAGCTCCTGTCTCCAATGGCTTCATTTCTTTCGACACTTACGCTGGGGCTGGGCTCTGTCAGTTAACCACAGAAGCAGAGAATCTAAACAACAGATAATCCATAACTTGATCTTGCACTTTAAGTTACACCACCTCTAAGGCTAAGAGACAGTTAAACTCAATCTAATGCTTCTTATAACAGTGAATCTGGTAAGAAAGACTGGTTCTAACAGCCAGAGGAAGGGTTGGACACCTCTTTGGCCCTCAGTGCAGACCAAGGTGGAGGAGCAGGAAAAGAGGGGGATTTGATTTCACATGACTGGAACTCAAGTCCTGGCCAAAATTTTTACCAGCTGGGTGCCTCTAACTGGGTCACTTAATCTCTCTAAGCCTTTGAGCCCTCATGTCTCACATCATCTAGTGCTAAAGTGCATGTTGAAACAGCAAATGTGACATTTGAAAACCCTGAAGTGCTATACGTGATTAAGGTGATTTGAAATAGAGGAGGAGGAAAAAGGAGAAAAGGAGTGAGACAGTAGGATAAAAGGGAGAGTGAAAAGTGAAAAAGAAAAGGGCAGGGTGAAGTGATGGAGCCCAAAACAGCTGATCAGGCACTGCTGCCTCTGAGCATGAGGGTCCTGGGTACCACTTCTGGGCTTGGGTAAGGGCTTAAATGATGACACTGGTGGTTGAATTCTCTTGTTCTCTGAACAACACAGAGAGTGGAGCTGGTGCCAGTTACCAAAAAAAAAAAAAATAAAAAAATAAAAAAATAAATAAAAAATCCCACTTATAGCACCTTATGGGATAGAGTACAACTGCCCCACAGGGTTTCCAAGGCTGTAAATCTTTACAGAAGCAGACAGCCTCATCTTTCTCTCATGGAGCAGCTGATGGGTTCAAATTGCTGACCTTCTGGTTAGCAATCAAATGCTTTAACCAGTGTACTACTAGAGCTCCTCAGTTATTGGAAAATCTCATAGGAAAGCAATGCTCAGAAAGATTATCATGACAACTACCATTTCTATGATTTTAACTCATAGGATCACTTGTAAAGCCTCTAAATCTTCATCTCATCTCTGTACAGGAAACAGGCTGCCGAGAGAGTTACTAGCTTGGCCCTGGCACAAGTCATGTCTTCAGACTTCCTTAAGCCACAGAAAACTTGAACCAGGTGGTGTGGTCATACTCCTCACCAGGTCTCAGCAGCACAGGAGGGAAGTGGGGCTGTGAAGGGAGAAACAACACAGGTTACACTTGGCCAGCCCACACTGCATCATCAACCATTCAGGAATTCAGGATGTGCTTCTAGATTCGACTGGATTCTAGATCAGTATTCTATAGATCAGTTGCGAGAGCAGGAGCTATATGTTATTGATTTGCAATGAGATAAAGAGCTTAAGCCAGAATGAAAATCAACTATATTACAAAATAAGACTTTCTTGATGAAGGAAGCAGTGTGTTGATTTATATTCTGGTGGTGCAGGCTTCTTGTCATGAACTGTAACTTTGTGCAGCATTACTCTAGTCAATGGCTAGCAAGGAAAGTTGTGAGGGAGCAAATAGGAAGAGAAGATATAAAGAATCTTCTTAAAAGTGTGGGTGCACAAAATGACTAGGTATCGATGAACAGAAACATTAAGTTGAATAAAGGCTTTAAAATGCAATATTTGAGCTTTCCTTAAAAACAATTTTATAGCATATTGAAGGAACTCTGGTGGCGTAGTGGGTTAGACATTTGGCTGCTAGTCAGAAGGTCAGTGGTTCAACCCACCAGCTGTTCCACAGGAGGAAGCTGGGGCAATCTACTTCTGTAAAGATTTACAGTCTTGGAAACCCAGTGGGGTCTGTTATGAGTCAGAATCGACTCAATGGCAGTGTAGGATAGCAAGATAGTAACTTGGCCGAGGGTATACTGTGTTTATCATGTTTTGGAGAAGAGAATCAATGTGGATTTTTGAATGATAGGGAACTGACTTGAGTGTTGTGACCTCTGTGATATAGTGTGACCTGGGCTACATCATCAGCTTAATGCTTTACCTGATTTACTGCATTGGGCCAATTCTGGGTCTCGAGACAGAAACCAGAGTGCTTGGGATACACTGCTCCACTCTTCCCCTTGAGCATGCCATCCAGGAAGTTGCCTGTGTAAAACTGGACACCTGGCTGGGTGGTGTACACTTCCAGTACCCGTCCACTTCCAGCATGATGGACCCTGAGGATGAAATCAAAAGGCCTGTGAGTCCAGGGCAGAAAAGCAGGTGGGAGGGTAAAAGCTGGAAAGCAGCTTTGAGAGAGGAATCAGGGCTAGCCTGGTTACACTTGGGACAAGGACAAGATGTATGGAGAAGACAAAGGAGGAGGAGCATGATGGTGGATTCTCACAGCATCATAGGTAAGGCATGAGAAGCTGGTTTTGAATATTCTCTGCAGCAGCTTCTCACTCTGATCTTGGCTTTGTGGAAGAGCAAAAAAGACTTCCCAACCAGATATGACTAGAAGGGATGGCCACATTGTGGACAGGCAGTTTTAGGGTCCTGAAGGGGCTGTGATTCTTCCTCATAAAGAGCTGGAGCTCTCTGTGTGGCCTGATGAAGCAACCAGCCATGCTTTATGCAACAGAAGAGATGCTTTTCTTAAATGAAACTGTTCCCCTCTGTGATAGTTAAGGTTGTGTCTACTTGGCTGGACCTGGTTTTGAGTGGCTGGGCAGCTGGATGTAGTGATTCCCCATGATGAGACTGGTAATCAACTCCATGGTGGAATCTACTGTGAGCAGCTGAGCAACTGAGCTTAAGGGATGTGTAGCTTAAGTAGAGGAGCCCTGGTTAACATAGTGCCTAAGGCACTTGACTGCTAACCAGAAGGCTGGCGGTTCAAACCCACCAGCCACTCCTCGGAAGGAAGGTTGGGCAATCTACTTCCGTAGCGATACTGCCTCGGAAACCCAAGGAGGGGTCGCTATGAGTCGGGGCCGACTCGACAGCACCCAACAACAACAAGCTTAAGTAGCTGCATTAGGGACTGTTCTGCTTCCAGTATATAAGAAGATGCTTTGAGATAAGTCTTGAGCTTTTGGCACACTTGGATCCTGCATTTGGCTGAGTCTTCATCTCAGTGGCCTCCCATGTTGTCTGCCAATCTTGGGACTGTTTCTGGACTTGAACTAATGGCCTGCCATGTTGCTTGATAATCTTTGGACTGTGCTATTTTACCTACCAACCTTAGGTTTGTCAGCTTCAGCAGCCAGTAGCTGCCTGAGTTAAGAGATGCCTCTAGCTCCAGTGGGCCAGGAGCAAGAGGCTAGTGCTGAAGCCCAAGGTTGAGAGGCCTTCACTCAGACCCTGGAGCTGGCACTTTGAACTTGGACTTCTAGCCTCCTAAATTATAAAAGAATACATAAATCCCTGTTTATTAAAGCCATCCACTTAGGGCATTTCTGTTATATCAGGACCAAAACACTCTCCCTGCAGCTCGAGTAGGCTGCTTTTGGTCAGATCTCTTCCTAGAACAGTCCTGCTTTGAGTTTCCATTAGATCCCCTGTTTCCTTTTTTTTTTTTAAAATAAAATAAAACCAAACCTCTACAGAGGTGAGAACCTGCCCAGTACTGTACTTGGGTATTGAAAAGATACAGATAAAGAAAGGACTAGGTCTTACCATCTCACCAAGAGGCAAAACACATGTATAAAATAGTTAAGATACCCCTACAGTATGTTGTCCATCAATAGGTTCAGGGTAAGATGCTTGGGAAGAGGAGGTCCAGGATTTAAATAAGTGGGAAGAAGACTGGAGGATGTCCTCAGTTGGGGCAGTGAGGACAGGAAAGTCAATAAAAGGAGGAACATGGGCTCAAGCTGAAGGAATGAGCCTGGATGGGCTGGGACCTTGGTGCTGGAGTTCTGAAGGAGAGGTT